GGATATCTTTCGAGAGGTTGAGACGGATAGACCGTTAGCCGGAAAACAGGCGTTGAGGTTGATGTCGGCCCCCATTATATTGCATATGCAGTCTGACCCAACATTTTATGGATACTTGAAAGGAGCGTCCGATCGACACGAGTTGGACACTCAGAAAGTAAGTCCTAACGTGTATTCGTTTGCAGAATATTCTGTATTAAAAAGTATAATTTGCTTATTTGTTTAAAAATACTTAATAGTTAATACTTAATTACAGTTAATATTTTTTACTAAAATGAATATACAATAATTTTAACCCTAATTATCATTATTAGATCAAACAAATGATATTAAATGGACCGGCGTTTGACAAATGCGATCGATATTTGGATTTATACACAAATAAAGCGTTGAAATCATTGGATATATTTCCTGATTGTACGGCAAAAACTATACTTAAAGATGCAATCATTGCCTAAGAAATGAAATTTTTAAAATTATTTTTCATTACATATACACATCATTATTATTATGTAATATCATATTAGCATAATATATTTAAATGAAATGAAAAGTATAAATAATATTTTATTTATTGAGTGATAAGAATTTGTTGACTTTGTGAACATATTTTCATGTTTTTAAAAATTACATTTAGTTAACAAATTTTGAGTAAAGGATATAATTTTTATCAGTTGAATTAAATTTAAATAAATTTTTATAAATAAATATGTGCATGATTTATATATTTTCGTATTATTTTAAAATAATAACCGTGGTTATATTAGTTAGTCCCACATATACATATACATGTTACTGTACTTGTGAATGGTTTTTGATTTCTATAATATTTTTATCGGATCTTGCACTTTGGTTTAAACTTTAAATGTATATCAAAAACTAATGATTTATAAATATTTTGTAATTTTTGTAATAGTAGTAACTGTATTAGAAATCCATGTATTACACTACATATAACATTATGTGTAAACAAAAATGAATTAAATTACAGATATAAATATATGACACATAATATTACTGTCTATCATAAGGTGTTTATCATTAAATGATTTGTATTTTTCAAGTCTTTTTAGATGTATTATGGCTTATAATCATTTCATTAAAGATTGTAAACTTTGAACTCACATTACTTAAATATCGATACTTGAAATTGTGGTAAAATAATTTGTGTATTTTTTATTTATTTAATTTTTCACACAAATAATAGAAGTATTTATAATAATATTTGTAATGTGCACAACTTGTAGAAAGTTTATATTTGTATTTAATTTATGATTATTAATGTCTGTCTATGATATTTAGTATACAAAGTGTAGTAAACTTTAAACCAAAGTTCACTGTCTATTATTGATATAATCAGTAATTTTCATTTCGTATAATATTTACTTTATATTAAATAAAATTGTTTTATTTAGTATTTATCGATAATAATAATAGTTAACATAAAAAAGTTTTTTACATAAACTCAATGTAATAGCAATTCAATTACTAATCATTTGATGTAAAAATTTATTAAACTTAGAGTGCTTTCACTAAATAGTGTTTAAATTTCAAACTATTTAATTCATTTGTAAAAAATAAGTTTTTCAGTACATATTAAAAGTTTTTTTTCGTATTAAAAAGATTATCTCTTCCTATATTATAATTCAGTGAATAATTTTATAGTCAATATAATGAATGGTAAGTCTATGTTAAAGTTTATGTGTACTTCATATCGGAAACTAGTTTTTCGTAACAATTTCTATGCCATAAATGTTTAGTTATAATTAAAATTCATGGCAAGTGTTTGGGGAAAACATTTGCTTTAACTTTTGATTTCAAAAGTTTTCTAATCATTATTTACGGTGTATTTGTTTTTACTGTTTATTAATATATTCACACTTGCATTGTGTATATCATTGTCGTTATGGATATTCACAATAAAATATACAATTCATTGTTATTTATTGTAAAGATATAGTGAACACTAATTTTAACAGTTATTACAAAATATTATCAAAAATCTAATGCTAAAGTTAATAACATTATGTATACTTATTTAATGTGTAATATAAACTACATTTACTACATATGATGGCATGTCTGTGCAAAATCCCTGTAACATATGAGTGTGAATAAAGTTTGTATTCCTTAAGTACCGGTGCGCACAGGTATGTGAAGTACAAAGTTTATGAGAAATTTATTAGAATTGATTAAAGTTTGTATGAAATCTGAGATATAATTGATGCTAAATATGAACTGATATTTACAATATTAGTGGTAATATTAGTAAATTGTAAAATAANACTTTATACACAGATTTTTAATTAATTTTCACTAAAGAGTGGAGAATTCTGTAGTAAATTAATAATTGTCTCACATTTTGCTAATATTTATTAAAAATGTTGTGTTTTTGAGATAAATTTCTCGACATTCAAAGAAATTCCCGCTTATTCTGGGAAGGAAAGCCTACCCACACACTCAGGGGGGAACTGTAGGTGGAGGGGGATTTGGTGGAATTGTATAGAATTCTTGTTTTTAAACATAATTCAACATAAATATTGGCTATTATACAGTAATAGGAATTAGAAATAAACTAAAATTTCCGTTTTTATATATCATTAGAAATTCCTGAATTAATAAAAATATATATGAGATAAAATATATAAAATTTAAATTAATTCTAATTACTTATTACATCACTTGTACATGTGTATAATTTTAATAGTGATTTGAATTCAATGTATACATCAGATATCGGCAAACCTTTTGCTTAAATGTGTTTTGGGATTGAATTAAAAGTTTGTTTCATTATTGAAATGTATTTCTTATATTTGTTTAAATATATAAATTTTATTAAGTTATAAATTGTATGATTCATTCAGAATTTTCAATAGCATTTCCACTATTATTTTATTGAATGGATACTTTTGAGAGAGAGAGAGAGAGAGAGAGAGAGAGAGAGAAAGAGAGAGAGAGAGAGTTATGGTATATAAAAAGTAAATACATAATAAAAAACACATTTAAAACATAATATACTCACGCCTTCTGTTTTCATGCCAACAATCTCTTGAACCTCATAGATATCATCCTTTCCCTCGTGACTACCAGTGCTCACAGTGCCAGCCCTGTCACTGTCACTGTCACTGTGTTTATGATTATGATTATTATGACTATTAATATCCATTACTTTTTATATGTATTTCCAGAATTACATGTCTTTTATTATGAGTTTTATATCAGGAATCCAATTGAAAAACAATAGAAAAGAAAATTTAAAGAATTTTAGAGTTTTTACATATATTTTAAGCCAAAACCGCTAATCGATCGCTGATTTTCAGTGGCTATTAGTGTGCGAACCGAAAGGGAAAGCCTTTCGGTGAGGAACTGGAGACTGAATGCATGACTACTACTATCTCTGAGCGCACACGACACAGAACTACCAGTCCTTTACTCGCTTATCATTACCACTGAACGCAAACTGACTGTTAGTAACAGTAGTTTTTCTGGTGGAACGGGAGGTCTCGGCGCTCAGTCTCCAAGTGTTCACTCACTCGCATTCACAACACATAACAGTCAGCTGTGAGCTAATGCACACATACTAGTGCTGATGGAACTGGTAGGCAGTCATACGAATGACTGAGAGATTGCAGTATTCCCGATCAGTTTAGTCTCTCTCTCTCTCTCTCTCTCTCTCTCTCTCTCAAAAGTATCCATTCAATAAAATAATAGTGGAAATGCTATTGAAAATTCTGAATGAATCATACAATTTATAACTTAATAAAATTTATATATTTAAACAAATATAAGAAATACATTTCAATAATGAAACAAACTTTTAATTCAATCCCAAAACACATTTAAGCAAAAGGTTTGCCGATATCTGATGTATACATTGAATTCAAATCACTATTAAAATTATACACATGTACAAGTGATGTAATAAGTAATTAGAATTAATTTAAATTTTATATATTTTATCTCATATATATTTTTATTAATTCAGGAATTTCTAATGATATATAAAAACGGAAATTTTAGTTTATTTCTAATTCCTATTACTGTATAATAGCCAATATTTATGTTGAATTATGTTTAAAAACAAGAATTCTATACAATTCCACCAAATCCCCCTCCACCTACAGTTCCCCCCTGAGTGTGTGGGTAGGCTTTCCTTCCCAGAATAAGCGGGAATTTCTTTGAATGTCGAGAAATTTATCTCAAAAACACAACATTTTTAATAAATATTAGCAAAATGTGAGACAATTATTAATTTACTACAGAATTCTCCACTCTTTAGTGAAAATTAATTAAAAATCTGTGTATAAAGTACACATTTATAGTGAAGTAAAAATATTGTATGTAATATACTTCTGTAATACAGAATCTGTATACAGTATATGTAGCAGGAATGGTATGATTTTTCTACCCTATTATGGTATGAATTATGTAATAGACTCATCCTAAACAATCTACCCTTGCATTCAATGTACTTATCACTAGTTTATAAAATATACAATATAATGGTGTACACTATACAGTCTATGGTTAACTAATATTACACGGTTTGTATGATAGCAAACCTGTATATTACAGAGAATGACATTAATATTAATGTCATTTTCGGGGATAAAATTGAAAACAACTTTTTCTGTGACACAGAATTGTGAATCCAATGCTAAGCAAATGAGTGAATGAATTGTGATAAATATTAGTGTTTTTATGGGTTTTAATCCTAAATCCAAACTAAAGACACATAAAACGAGCCTTCGTTTGGCATTAATATAAATATATTTCCAAACATTTATTATTCTTATTATTTTTTGTCTGAACCTAAATAACGAGTAATACTTTTACTTTAGGTCTCTCTCTCTCTCTCGCTCTCTCTCTCTCTCTCTTTCTCTCGCTCGCTCTCTCTCTCCTAAGCCTTTGTTTAGTTGGAAATCATATAAGAGTTTTGTTTTTCTTATTCTCCAGTTCCTATCAAACAGTGCATGTGACATACCAGTGCTTTAATACTAATGCCCATCACGGCAACAGCAGCCCCGGTATTTCAAAAACAGACAGTACACAAGCATTAGTAACTACTGTATACTGTAGTCTGGAAGCACTGGTATGTTATGTAAGTTAACAGTGAACTGTGCTTTTAGTGTGAATGGCATTCAATATTTACAATGCAAGTGCTTATTCTGTATGTCATACTTGCATACACTGTGTGAGCACAGGGATGTGTATGCGTTGAACATCCCTGAGCTTTACAAAGTGGTAATCGTCTGGTGAAGGGCTCACATACTGGTGCTCTCACTGCATCTAATGCCAGAGTATTGATGCCATACATACGCCAGTCATTCAATACTTATTCTGTAGAGCGCCTACAGTCGAGAACTACTGTAGGCAGCGGTTGCTAACCAAGAATACAATACCATTGCATACCAGTACCAGTGATAGTGTTGATGTTAAGTGCATACATAGGCGAACACCGGTATGTATCACAGCATCAGCTCAGTTAGCATTTAGAATACAGTATAGCATAGGATGTGAGTTGGAATCGACTACTGATTGCTTGTATACAGTATAACAAGTCGATAGAAACCAGATCTCTCTCTCTCTCTCTCTCTCTCACACACACACACACACACACACACACACACATCGCCACCACAGCTGATGACTGACTGCTTTTCCACCACATATTAAATGCCTTTCCCTACTCAACCATATTATTTCCTGTATTCCATGCATTAACTACCCATACATTCATTATTTAATACCTTCCCCTTTATATACACGACACAATACCCATACATAGAGTGTATGTTATATAAAAATATATGATTAACTAGTTTTAGTTGTTATCTACGAGAGAGAGAGAGAGGGGGGGAGAGAGCGAGAGAGAGAGAGAGAGCGTATGAAAAGCTATTGATTTGCATTTCAGACACACAACTGTTTCCAGACATACGACTAAAAATCAAAAACAAATTTTCGTCTCAAAAAACTTATTTTTTATCCCCATTTGTGTGGAGTGTATAGAAAAACTATAAAATCTTTTTTCTCAAATAATATCTAAATTTTATATCAAAAGTACTGACAATTCGTGTCAACTCTGCCTCCCTGTCCCCTCTATAGGACATAACTGTATACCGGGTCCGGTGGAAAGGGTACGGCCCCCAGTCGGACACTTGGGAACCGGAGTCCAACCTTCGCACCGTATGGCGAATGATCGAGCGATACAAAGCGCGACACAACTCCAAAATGTCTTTATTATCTACCGGTGCGACCACTACTACAGCCAACGGCACCGGCAGGCGTCGCGGCCGGCCCTCAACCAGTTCTACATCCAGTACAGCCAGCACTGGTAGCTCCGGTACTAACAAAAATAGCGCACAAACCAGTCAGAAAACTAGTGGTACCGGCGCTGCCGCTAGCGGTGGGGAACGGGAGGACAGGCAGTCGGCCTCGCTATTGATCAGACGGCACCCAAAACAGACGCTTAAAATTCGTATAAACAATAGTACCGGTGCTAATAAACGCCTGAATCCTGGCACCGGCAGGGAACGGGTGGTGATCGGGCGCACCGGTAGCCAGAAAAAGCGGCTAAAGTATAGCTTTGTGGCCGAAAACGGCACTAAAAACACGTTTTGGAAGGACTTGGAGGACGGAAAGATAGATGTGTTCAAAGAGGATCTGTACTCACGGGTCAAGTCTAGAGCGGCGTCCAGCTCCAAGAGCTCGGGCAGCACCGGTAGCTCCAACTCATCGGCCGATAATTCACCGAAACAGTCGACTCCCGATTCGGGTTCGCCCGTAAACAGTGATACTAATGATGAACCGAACCGCACCGGTAGTGGTACTGATGATAGTAGTGGTGATTCCGGTGCTACCGATGCTACAGACTGCGAGTACATAGAGGACGGGGATCTGAGGGTACGGCTCTGCAAAACGGAAGCCCTGGTGTCGGCGCTGAAGGCCGGAGATAGAGAGTTGGCCCGCATTTTGATTGACAACGGGTCGGACGTGAACTCGACGACCGGCACCGGTAGCCGAGGATCGACGCCACTGATGATATGCGCAGAACAGGATATGTCGGCTATGGCTGAGTTTCTGTTGAGTGTAGGCGCTCACATGGACAGCCTAAATAAGGACGGCGACACGGCCTTGATTATTGTGAGTAACAGCGCCGGTAGCATTTTTATCCCAATATTATATAGTTTTAAAACTTTTTCATTGATTTATATTATTTATTGATGTGTACTGTATATTATTGCAAAGAATTATTGTATTAAAATACAGAATATTACACAGAATTACAGGAATAATGTATAATATATTCCAAACATAGATATCAATGAGACAACTGCTTAAAATTATATTAATATAGTTTTAATTGTTAACTTACTATGTTTAATTTCAATCGTTAAATATTCAACTAAAATATTAAATGTAGTTAAAATTACTTACACTATAATCTTATGATGTCTGTCCACATGGGACTAATAGGCCAGTCGTTTGGGACACAACGATATAATCAAACTGTTATTGACTAACGGCTCAAACTTCGCACAAATCAATCGGAAAGGTATGAATGCATTGAGAATGGCCCGAACCAGTGGCCACCCATCCACTCAACTGCTGCTCATTGACCACATATCCAGGTAATAGACACATACCTGTCCTCATAAACACATTATTAATGAGTCTACTATTCCTGACCACAGACTGGCTCTATCGCTGGAGGACCAGGTGATGGCCACACTGCGGGGTACGGCTCGTATAGTGAACGCCTTGTTTCCCATACAATGCTATTCCGTGAATGAGTGCCAAGAGTTTAAGCTGTCGTTTGAGTTTGATTTGGACCGACAGTTGCACCGACAGCCAGGTATGTGTCCACACATTCACACATAACTATAACATTGTCCACAATTTGTTTGGTTTAATTCCAGGCGTGGGTTATATCCTATTCTGCGGCAACACTACCGTTACCCCAACGGACATCAAATGCCAATTCTGTGGACCCGATGTCATACAAGAAGTACTTCTCAACAAAACCGTACAAAAGCCGTTAACTGAGGTATTGAGACATTTGATGACAAATAATGACATATAATATACAAAACAATTAATTTGACAAAAAGGGCGCACAATATGTCTTCTCATTCCTACCGCTGGTTCGCGGGACCAATGAATTGGTGGTTAAGACCGTCGACAGGAACGGTAGTGTCGATGACCAGGAGGTTGATACCAGACATACGAAGCTACTGGTGTGCGCCTATGAGCTGCAGCTTATAACTGGTCGCACCGGTAGTTCAGATGACACTAAAACTTGTGATTACGAATCGCCGCATAATTAATGTTAACTTAAATTTAGGGTTTAATTGAATTAAATGCTTATATTATATAATTTTATGTATAAAAATCTGTTTTTAATTTATTATTGATTTTTGTGTGTTTAAGTTTGAACTCGTTATACAAATAAGCGTTTTACTGATTATTTAATTATTGCTATTATAATATCGTTGTTGTTATTAATGTTATTATAATTACAACTATTATTACTGGTACTTATGAATTGAAAAGTGTTTTGAAACACTTAATAGTGTTTGAATTGATAGTGAGTTTTATTGTATATGTTGTTTGCATTAATTGTTTTGTTAATTAACGAGTTATTCAATGTATGAACGAAAGTGATATTCCGATACAAAAACATGTTTTTCATTCGTTTTGTAAAAATATAACAATTCTTACAGAATAGAGAATATTCTTAAGGATTTCATTGAATACAAGATTTTTTGAATGTATTTTTGTTGCGATTTATACAGACTTTGAGAATCAAACTATAAACGCAAGAATATTCTTGTGTTTTGTAACACTGTTATGAACAATAAAATGTTTGTATTCAATTTTGAAACAGTATTTTTGTAATTTAATCGCTTTAATTTTAATTACAAATTGTTTCGTAATTAAATGTAATAATTATAACAAAATTTAATTTATTTGTAACTAAATATAGCGGTTAGACATCTGGATTGAATTTTGCGACTAACGTCAAGCAATCAATAATTTTAGTCACAATACTTACAACATTACTGAATATAGTTGGTCATATTATAGTCCAGGTAATACTTATTCAGATAAATGACAATTAAATACTTGCAGAATATATCTGTAAATAACTATAAAATGTATTATAAAAATAACTATAAACTAAATATCTAATTAACAGATATGTCAGTGAAATATCTACTAATCCTGGTACTCGTGGCGCTGGTACTGAGCGCACAGTACATCGAGTCTACACCACTGGCATCGGGCACCGGTATGCTTGGAAAAATAGTAGCTAAACGTGCGGCCGATCCCCGTCCTTGTGATAGCGACATGCTTGTCGACCATAACGATAAAGACGAGCCCGCGTAGACAACTCACGCGACATACCGTTCCATACAAACCCCATTAAATGGGGGAATGGACTACAAAACACTTTTCAATACAAAACTAAATGAATATTTATATAAAAACACAACTAATGTTAAAATGATTTGTAAAATGAAATAATAATAAAAACAAGTATTTATTGAAAATGTAATTTTCTGTATTTAATAAACAATTAAGTCTGAAATACGAGTGAAACGAATTTGTATGCAATGTATAAAATTGTGGTCAAAAAACAAAATGTTATCAAAAAAACATAATTAAAAATTCAATTCTAATTTCTAATCAAATAATAAACAATTTGAAAATAACTCAAAATGAGTATAATTTTTCTGCGCTATAGTTAGCGATAATTAATGACAAAAAAACACAAATGAAAACAATAATTAAGTACAAAATGGTAGTCAAAAATACAATTAAATTAAACCTAAATCTAAATGACTGATAATTTAGGGCACAATCTTTGGCACTACTAACTATGTCCAGAGCCTCCCGGGGCCTTACCTTCAACCCCGTGCTCTAACTTAATGTGGTGTTTGAGATCCATATTGCGGGCGAAGGCAACGCCACAGATGTCGCAGTCCTGGGGCTTGGGATCAATGAACACGACATCAATAGAGCCCTCAAAAGTACCCAACAGTAGCCGCGAGCCCACCAGAGCGCAGGCACTTAAGCCAGTACACTTTTTCGGGACGCCCTCGTTGTCCAGGTGGTAGGCGATCCACTTGAGAGACCAGTTCTCGACTCCGACGCGAGAGACCAGACTCAGGCACTGCACTTTGCCGTCCTTTTGGCACAATATGACGTCCCGACCCCTCATATCTATGGCCGACACCACACCAGTCATCTCTATAATTTGGATGGGATTCCAGTCCTTCACAAAACAGTTTAAAAGTTTGTAATAAAATTCAAAATTAAATCAAAACTAATTCAAATTAAATACTGAACGCAATGGATATACCTTTTTCATGTCGTACACCAAAACTTTGGACTTTTCGAGTAGTTTGGGTGCAGCGCCGGCTGTTTTATCCTCAGACTTAATGGCCGGTAATTTATACACAATAAACAACTGACTGCCGAAAACCCTCAGCATCACCGGTGGGTTCAGAGTAAT